TATCTGAGGCCAATTTACAATCCTGGGACTGTGCAGATGTAAGTAATGCTTTGGTTTTGGCTGCAGGACATTTATGACTGATGTTGAATTGCCAAGTTGGTTTTCCACTTCTAGGCTGAGAAAACAGAACACATTTGAGTTAAAGAAGAGAGAAAAGTCCTAAATTTGTTTTTTACAGACCTGTGTTTCAGAGCAGGACTATGCTTCCAGTGTAGGGAGTGCTTTCTTTGCTTTGGCGCAGTGACAGGTCCTGCTCTCCTACTGTAAGCAGTGAGACATCACCTCGCTGGATTTCAGCCATAGGTGGGTTATGATGCTCAGGGATTAAGTGTCTTCTGCTCATGTGTTTGCTCTGCAGAAACACAAGAATTGCATTTGCTGCTCCATAACTTGGGCAATGAACGATGAGACTAGTTCTATGTTTTGGGGGATTTTTAAAGTTTTTTTTTTTTTTTTTTTTCCTCTCTGAATGACTTAACTGTGTACTAAATACCTGTTAAGTAAAATAATTGTTTTATCCTTGGGCAAAGAGAATTAGGCTGTTGTCTAGGTAAACACTGGGGAAAACATTGAGTGAGAAAAGACCGTGCATACCAAAGTAGGACACCTTGATAGAGATGGCTGACTCACCAGTGTGACATATTCTGTGTTAAATATGGAAAGCTTAGGTGTCATTTGTTGTATCTCAGCAAGAGCAGAAAGAGATTTATTTTTTCTTCCAAAGATGACTTACAAACCAGACAGAGATCTTGACTTACTGTATATGCAGGTGAAAACACGGATATGCTCTGCAGCTTCTCTCATAACCCACTGCAGCCAAGGGCCATCCCTTGCAGATGCATCCATGTTGTTTGGAGGTCCCTGAATCACACCAGAGCAACCTTCTTAGGCTGCTGGATGTATTTCTATTACCAGTCATCATCTGGGTTTCTCCACTACATTTTTGTTTCTAACTTGTACCTTAATTTGTGACTGGCGATAATTTATCTGCTAATCCTTTTTTTCTCTCTCCTCTCTGGGGAAGTCATTGGAGTCCTGAAGCTCTAATATTGGCTTCAGTGACATAGCTTATCGCTGTGAGCATCAGTCCACCTCTGATAGCTGTGGGAAGCAGATTTCTGGGACGCCCAAAAGGTAGGCTGTTTTGCAGATAGTCCTGCAACTGCCTGCAACGCCATGAGAAAGCGATCTGATGGTCTCTTGCCACACATTGCTGTTATTCTAAGCATGAGACTTTGAGGCAGGCAGGAATCAATGTCCTGGCTTGAAGTTATAATTTAACAGTAAATGGATTCAAGAGAAAAGGAAAGCTGCTTGGTCCCTGTTCAAAGATAAATTTTGAACAACTTAATACATTAAAAAAAAAAAAAAAGATGATAAAGTAAGCAGCCATCAGCAAGACAGCAGTTCATATAACCAAACAAGCGATGCAAGCATTTTTTTACACTTTCTTTTCTTTTCTTTTCCTCCCAGGTATAGAAACATACTGGTGGCTGATGGGGTCCATCTGACAGAGAAGGGGAAGAGCATCTTTGGTCATCAGCTCGCCAAGCTGGTAAAGAGGGTTTTAAACTGAAGTTGTCATATGAAGGGAACCTGAGTCCATCTCGTTCCTTGATGCCAGTGTCAGCAGTAGATGCCCAGAGCCTGAAGTGAGGTCACAGGTCTGCAGGAGAGCTCCTGAAGAGGAATTCCAGCCAGTAAGTCAGCCTCAAGGGGACCCAAATTAAATGCCTCTATGCAAATGCAAATAGTATGGGGAATAAAGAAGAGGAGTTAGAGACATGTGCATGCCTGCAGGGCTATGATCTCATTGGCATCATGGAGACGTGGTGGGATGGCTCCTATGGTTGAACTGTTGGAATGGAAGGATACAGGATCTTTATGAAGGACAGGCAGGGAAGACAAGAAGCAGGGAGCTGCCTTCTACATCAATGACCAGCTGCAGTGCATGGAGTTCTGCTTAGGGATGGAAGAGGAGCTGACCGAGAGCTCATGGGTCAGGATTAAAGGGAGGGCAGGGATGGGTGACATGTAGTGACAGGACAAGGGTTAAAGGCTTTAAACTGAAAAGAGGGTAAATGTAGATTCGATTAAGGAATAAGTTCTTTACTGAGAGGGTGGTGAGACACTGGAACAGGCTGCTCAGAGAAACTGTGCCTGCACCCTCCATGGAAGGGTTCAAGGCCAGGTTGGATGGGGCTTTGAGTAACCTAGTTGGTGTGATTTGAGCCCAGAGGGCAACTGAGCACCATGCAGCCGTTCACTCATCCCTTCTCCCCTCAGGAGTGGGAAGGAAACAATGAAGTAAAAAGGCTCAGGAATCTAGATAAGGACAAGGAGAGGTGGCTCACTCATTACAATCACAGACAAAAGACAGACTTCACAGGGGAAGAAAAAGAACATCACTTTAATTCAAGCACTAACAAAGACAACACTTAACAGACAAGGTGGGACAGTGAGAAGCTCCACCACATCCAAAAACACCTCCCCCCACCCCTCCCTTCTCCCCCGGGCTCAGCTCTGCTCCCCATCTCTCCCCCTCCTCCCCCAGCGGCGCAGGGGGCAGGGGATGGGGGTCACAGTCAGCTCCTGCTCCTTCCTTCTCGGGAGGTGGGGGAACACCACACACCCCTCCCCTGCCCCCCGGGGCTCCCCTCTCACTGCAGACAGTCCTCCACCAACCTTCTCCAGCGTGATCCCTCCCCACGGGCCGCAGCAGCTCCCAAGCTGCTCTGGAGTGGGTCCCCCCCGCGTGTTGCAGCCCTCCCAGCGCCGAACCACAACAGCGGGAGCCGCTTCTCCCCTCAGAGTCCCGGCTTGCTTCAAGCACAGCCTCCTGCCCTGGCGTGGGCTCCTCCACTGGCTTCATGTCAGGCTCCGCTCCGCTGTGGACCTCCAGAGGTGGCAGGTGGGCAGCCCTGCCATCTCACCATGGGATACAGGGGTCTCTGCTCCGGCGTACCTCCTCCACATCCTTCTCCTTCCTTCCATTGACCTTGGTGTTCATCCTTCTCCCAACTCCTCCTCACAAGTCCCAACCCTCTCCCAGGTTCCCCTTCTTGACTACATTCTCACAGAGGTGCAGCCACCATCACTAGTTGGCCCGGCCCTGGCCAGAGGTGGGTCTGACGTGGAGCCGGGGGAGCTTCAAGAAGCTTCTCACAGGGGGACGCTGCTGTATCCCCCTCCCCTGCTATCAAAAACCCCGCCACAGAAACCCAGCACACTGGTCTAGGTGGGCTGGAACTAGATGATCTTTAATGTCCCTTCCAACCCAATCCATTCTACGATTCTATGATTTTGGGGAACTTTTCTCATGCCAAATGTTTCAATGCTATTTTTGTCAGGCTCACTGGTTCTCTCCTAGTGCTGCAGCATGTCTGGGCATGCAAAGAAATGTATTCAGCTGCCAGTTCACTCTGGAGTCAGTGAGGCATTTGCCTAGTGACATCCCCTTTCCCATTCCAAGACCCCTAGAAAAAAGTTATATAACCTTTCCAGCTATACTGTGTATTTCTGGTGCTGTTTTAGCTCTTTTTGGCTTCAACACTGAAGCCCTAAATCCTGTCTTCTTCCCCAATCCAGTTTTCAGGAAGTAAAAAAAAAAAACAAAAATCAAACCAAAACACTAAAAGGTAGAAACGTGAGCATGATATAGATGTACAGGACTGATTGTAAAGTTATTGCTTTATCATGAGTTTTTGATAGTTTATGACTACTAGTCATGTTTCTGCTGTGTTTGAGTCCACTGTGATTGCTACAGATACTAGTATTAAAAAACTGGAGACATTCTAGAATCATATCCCTCTGCATCTCATGGTTAGAAATTGTACATCATCTTTACTTAGTCATGTGCAGGTAGTCTGCTTGGTGCTATATGAGTACATAGCAGGAGATCTTACATATTTATAGATTACTAATGAACGCTTAAATACAATCAGTTCTTATGAAAATTTACTTATTCAGCTGGACAGCAACAAGTTTTTAAAAAATTGGCTAACCTCAGAGACAATGTTGTGTTTAATGCTCAAATGCTCGTCAATCTATACTATGCAGGTAGTATCCTAAATGGCCTTTATCCCAACCATTCAAGTTATTACTTTATTTTGAAGTAATAATGTGGTCTGCGGTGCAGCTTTTAAATAAAAAAATTCCTGCATATACTCTATGAAGAGATTTTTGTTAGAATAACAGCTCTTTTGCATCAAATGTATATGTTTGCATGGATGGCAAAATGTTAGCTAGTGAAATCTCTTTAAAAGCCATCACATAGAAATGATCTACTGATAATATAGTTTACTATACCAAAGGTAGATGTTGTTGCACAGATATATTTCAGTGCAGAATTAACTCCCAAAAAATCAATCTACATTTGGTTTGTTTTAACCCTATGGGAAAAAGTTCACAGGACAATACTGTCAAGCTTTCTGCCTTGCAGTCAATAGGGGCACCTGGAACACAGGTCAAAACAGAAAAATGTCACTGCTGGTGGAGTGCTCTGCTGATGAAATCATGTTTCTGAAATCCCTCAGTTAAGAACAAGTGCATCTCCTCCAAAAAAGGTCTTCTGGAATTTCCTCCCTCAGTCCTAATAAATACGTGTTTGGTGTTTAGCAGGTTGTGATGGCAACAACTGTGCAAAGAGATTCACACCAAGATAGTGAGACACAGAATCATAGAATGGTTTGGGTTGGAAGGGACCTTAAAGATCATCTAGTCCCAACCCCCCTGCCACGGGCAGGGACACCTTCCACTAGACCAGGGTGCTCCAAGCCCCATCCAACCTGGCCTTGAGCCCTTCTAAAATTAGCACTCATTATTTGAATCTCTTTGTGTGGGTCTTCGGTCATAACTGCAGGGTGTAAAGCCACCAAAAGTAATCGACATTTATTCTACACACACTTCTGAATGAACACAAGTACTCTCTAATTAGACAACAAGAATACTGTTCTAATCACTATTTATCTTGTGAATTACAACGCCATGGAAACATTTTCTTTGCACCATCTGGCTTTATGCATTTATTTAATGAGTTGATGAGTATTTATATACGTTACAAGGAACAGATAGTAAAGCATTTGTTACATTAGGAAGTGAAACAAAGATTTTTCAAAACTGAGTTTGTATCAAATTCACTGCATTAAACATTTTAAATTTTGCCAAAATGCCAATGCCAGTTTTGGTGGAGGCTTCATGGGACTCATTTTACTCAATGAACATCTGTTAGGAAAGTTGCACATTCTTCCTAGTGATGCTGGTTGAACTGGACTGCTGTGTAGAAGTGAAAGCACATCTTAATTACAAACAGCACATTGACTGGTATTTTTGTCCTTTTGATTCCAGTACTATAATTGTAATATCAAAATAACCAGTACAGATTCTTGCTACTGAACAATACCACTCAGATATGAGGAGGAAGATGCAATTACAATACAAAGATTTCAGGAACTAGTAATTATCTGAACACTACAAGAGATGAGGAAATTAGAGGATGTGGAAATACCTGAAATAAACTGTTTTGAAATGAGTAAATGTGAATAACACAATTTGCATGTCTGCATTTGGTCTTCCTAAAATGCTTGTCACTGTCTCTCAAAAATCAAAACTGACTGGTTTTGTATATACAAAAATTAAAAGCAGTATTAAATTTTTAACTCAAAGCCCCCTGAAGTTAAATCTTATTACTAACTTAGTGGCTGCATCTAATTTTATATGAGCTAGGTGTTAACAGCCTGTGCTATGCTACTGAACGTAGCAATTCTTTGTATTTTTGAGAAGCCTAAAACATCATCCTTAAATCATCCCAAGGGAGCTTAAAAAGAGGCTTATCAAAAAAGATATATTGGCAAATTTTGACTTTGTAAACTGATAATTTAAACAATGTCTAACTACTGGGCATTAAAAGCTGTCAAAGCAAGGGCTTGTTGTATGGACAGAAAGACCCATACCAGTAAGTGCTTTTTACTTAGAAAAATTTGTTGCTAGTGTTGGAAAGTTCATTCCTAAAGTGAATAAGAAAATCCCAGCTTCTCTGCACTGGCTAGTGAAGGATTTATTTAGTAATGAGAACAACAGTACAAGTAAAACAGGGGCAGCTGAAACTGGAAGAGGTAATATTATGCAACCACTGTATACTAGAAAAGATTTCTACTGTCACTTGATCATTGACTCTAGTTTCTTCCCACTTACTAGTATCATGCGTTAGTCTGCTCAGTTCTCTTGAACTCATATCTCTGAGCTCCTCCTTCTCTTGTCACTCTTGTAACTTTCAGCATATGAATTCTTACTGGAGGTGAAAATCCTGTTCTTGGAGATCATGCTGGAAAATATTGGATAGAACAAATCTCAAGATATTTTGTTCCTTTCAGTTGCTTTCTGGCATTAATGTTTACTCTACACTCAGGCATCTTTGTAATCAGCATGGTTTTAAAGATGGTTTGGCTGTATGAAATTCCTGTATCTCTTTGCCCCTCGTCATTGGGTTTCCATATATCTATTCCAATTTAGTGCTCCTTCAGTCATGATACTGTGCCTGTTTGTGAGGCTGCCCTTTCAATACATCCCTGAAATTATGCAGGTAAACATGACCTTTTTTTTGACTGTTGTTTTCAAGTCAGGTCCTTACAGGGATTCAGGCCACAGCTCTACCAGACACTTGTTTTTAGTGGCATCGTTGGGAGTGGCAAACTTTCACTGGAAGGGAATGAAAGACACAGGCAGGAATGTAAACAAGTTTGACTGGTGAAACCACGGGATGGTGAAGCCTTACCAGAGTCAGCAGCCTTCTTCCAGAAAACAACTCTTATATTCTTGCTGTCAACTTCAAAACAGGCACATGCTATTAATTTAATCATCCTTCAAGAGAAAAACTTGCTCAGCAGTGTCTTGTTATGGTGCTGTGACAGTAGCGGTAGGATTCATCCACTAGGTCTTAAGTTTTAGAGCCTGGTTGAGACTTCTACAACTTTTTGTTTTAACCAGCTGTATGTCATGCTCATGATATTCAAGTTACAATACATTTGTCAGTAGTTAATAACATGTGACCTCCTGCTTCAGGTGTTAAATCTCTTTGCTTGACCTGCTGTCCCAATAGACTTTTGCATTTAGTTTGTCAATCAATTTTTCTGCTGACATCACTGAGGTAAGCCCTGCTTCATGGTGAAGTAAGTCATGGCAACTGCAACTAGCACAACACAAAGTAAGAGTTTAAGATTCAAGCCTTTGCTATTTTCCCTTTTATTTCAACTTTCCAGTAGGGTAGCAGCAGTTCATAAAACCTAGCTACTTTTGAAGTCTACTGCATTTAGTAAAGATAACTTAGACTCATCAGCAACTATTAATATAAATTCTGCCAGATATGGGCTTAAGAATAAACAAGGATGCATTACAAGATCAATTTACTGCAAGCCAAACAAAATTATTTATAGACTACAGTCCATGCTTTTGCATTATACTTCTTAGCAGAATGTTTCAAAGATTTAGAGTCTCGGCTCTCAGGGTAGATGCCACTGGCATTGGGATGAACTGGGCATCACACCGGGTCTGTACAGTGACAACCCAAATGACACAAACCACATGTTGCACCAGCCAGTGCCAAACACAGTGTCAGGGGTTAAAGCCTTATGAACTCCTGATAAAGCCATGTATGACTCAGAAATATTTTTCAAATACACCTTGGTACTGTAAAATGAATTTTGGGTAAGAAGGTTGTGACACAGTACATTAGGATCTCCTAGGTGGAGATCCAACAAGCCAAGCAGTCCCTGCTAACACACCAGCTCTCAGTTGTGTAGATGGGATCAACATCAACAAAATCAAGTTCTGAGATGTGTCTTGTTTGCTACCCTTTTCATTCAAATTTTGGTTTTGACTACCAGCATTGCACTGGTGTAAAAAAAAAAATATTAATTGGCTCAAAATTCAATTATACGCATTCTTAATTTGATTCACACTGAGCTTATTAATTTAGGTTCATTAAAGAATCAGAACTCAAATTAGTAATGAAAAAACATATTTGTTTGAAATTACACCATTCAATTTGTGCAAACACCTGAGTTTAAGTCAGAAAAGTGACTGTCAAATATAAGGAACTTCATAGTACACCTCATCCCAATAAAATTGAAATTTATCAACAAAATTAAAAATTCTTATTAACCTACAAGTGATTCTAATTTGATCACTTTTGTAATAAGAAAGAGAAAAGTAATATAATTAGCTACTATTTTTAAGAAGTCATTTTTCACAAAACTGGAAATAATGAGTCCTTTGACGCCCTTGAAGAAAGGACACAAACAAAAAAAAGAAAATTAGGAGTTGCTAACAAACATTCAGTTAACCCTTAAAATGCAATCAGGACAAAACCCAAACATAGTTAAAATTACAGACTAGTGTAGTGGGAAAGTGTGAAT